CTTTAACTCCCACATTCCTCTGCCCCACCCCTTGTCTTCTCTGAGTGCTTTAAAAACTGACCTATTACCTCCATTAAACAGACCTTGACAAGGAATCTGCTTGGTCTCGTTCTCTCTTTCTCGCCTATTCTTTTCCAGGCTGGGTCCCCCTCGCCCCACGAATAACCGTGTCCCGCAGGACGGGACAGCAACCATGGCTCACCGCAGACTCAAACTCCTGGACTCAAGCCATCCTCCCACCTCATCCTCCCAGAGTGTTAGAGGTGAGAGTCCACCTCTCCTCTGCCATCGCTCTGCTCCGCTCACCCAGCAAGTCTGGCTGAGTCAAAGGGAGAGCAAGACACTGGGGAAGGGGAAATGAGGCAGCTGGGACTCCAATATTGCAAAATAGAAGCAAAATTTATTTAAAGTAAAGAAAGGAAGTATATTCTATTTAAAGGAAAGCAGAGATAAGGCTTTTCCAGGAAAGTGGAAAGGGTTCACCTGGTGAGTAAGAGGAGACACATATGATACCGGTACTTTCACTCCAATTCCTCCTACATTTACCTACAAGAATTCCGAGTGGTTCCCCCTAGGCCTTCAGGTTGTCACATAAATCCAATTTGCTTCAGCGATTTGAAAAAAGGATAGAATTCTTATCAGCAAGCAAGGTGTGGTGGCCTGCAATCCTAGCACTCTGGGAGGCCAAGGCAGTTGGATTGCCTGAGCTCACAGGTTGGAGATCAGCTTGAGTCAAAGTGAGAACCCGTCTCTAAAAATAGCCTGGCATTGTGGCAGGTGCCTGTAGTCCCAGCTACTTGGGAGACTGAGGCAAGCGAATCACTTGAGCCCAAGAGTTTGAGGTTGCTGTGAGCTGTCGCACCATGGCATTCTACAAGGGCGACAAAGTCAGACTTTGTCTCAATAATAATAATAAGAAGAAGAATTCTTATTAGTAATTATTGACTGTTATTTTACTAGTGATGGTATGTGTATCAGTTAGTCTTGTGATGTTTATGGCAACTATGGTGTGCATGGTTCTGGCTGGGGATCTTTATTTTTGTTTTAAGGGGGGATCATTTACCAGCTAGAGGTCATGCATCGTAGGCTAGAAGTCATATTTTCAGGAATAGCACATACTAGGTTAACTAGGTCACACCCACCTAAAATTCCTCCCTTCACTTTTGGGTTTTTTCCAACTTACTTGTCTAGAGATTATAGTTCTCATCCTCTCCTACCTCCCTATATTTTCTTTTTTTGAAACAGAGTCTCACTATGTCACCCTCGGTAGAGTGCCATGGAGTCACAGCTCACAGCAACTTCAAACTCTTGGGCTTAAGCAATTCTCTTGCCTCAGTCTCCCAAGTAGCTGGGACTACAGGCACCCACCCACCACAATGCCCGGGTATTTTTTGTTGTTGTTGCAGTTGTCATTGTTGTTTAGCTGGCCCGGGTGCACGTGGCTGGCCCCGTAACCACTGTGCTACAGGCGCCGAGCCTCCCTGTACCCTCTTTAACCTCCTTTCATCCCTATTCAAAAGTGCTGGGATTACAGGTATAAGCCACCATGTCCAGGCCATAAAGTTGATTTTTAAAGAAAGAATACATTTAAAAAGGAGCCAGTAGTTTCAAGAGAAGGAATTCTAATTCACAATAGCAGAAATCAGAGTAGTAAGACCAGGGAGAAGGGCAGCATTGGGAAGGGGTGTGCAGGACTTTCTAGGGGGCTCAAAATCTGTGTCTTAATCTGGGCAGTGATTACAGGATGCACACAAAGGTTGATTCACGGCTGTACATTGAAGAGTTGTTTTACCTCAATTTTAAAACATGGTTAGGAGGACTGTACATTATCATCATTTTATTGGGTGTGCCTGAATCCCAAAGCTTATGCTCTTGATGGCAGGAAAATGTTCAGACTGTAATGTAAAGTGGTTACAAAATAGTACACAAGCCCCAGCGGCAAGCACGCAAAACCGCAAAACCGACCCTGGGAGATTGGAAGGAAAGAGATTAAAACACTGCCAAACGCTAGGCTGCGAGAGATGGACCGGACTTCCCTCATCTCCACTTCCTCCATTGTTCTACTATAGTTGTATGTTGATTATAATAAAAGGGGATATAACTTTATTGGAAGTCTTTACTATTTTAATAGGTAAAATTCGGAAATAACCAAAATATCCAACAACAAAGGATCATTTTGTAAATGCATGTGGCACACCCATCTAGCCCCATAGGGAGTGGCTCAGCCGTCTCTCTGAAAAAGTCCAAAGGGAGAACCGAAACCATTGTGTTATTTTTTGAGAATGAAATTTTCAGTTTCTGTTTTCCCTATATATATTTTTTTCTCATTTACCTGGATGATGTGCAATAAGCCCGAGTTATTACCACAATCGGAAGGGAGGCGCCCGGGCAGAGGGAAATGGTACGTCTTGCCCCCTGGACTTTTTTTTTCCTAAAAACATTATAATTTTAATTCAGACTATAACATGCTCAGTTTCTCCATTATTTGCTCGACTGCCCTGCCGACCTCTCATTCTCCGCCTGTCCCCCTCCCACACACACACACACTCTGCCCTGGAAATGCCTCCTGATCCGCCCAGCCACGCAGGAAGCAAGGGAGAAAGCCCAGGGCAGGGGTGGCACCGGGGGCGCCGTGGCAGGGAGGAAGCAGGGAGCGCGGCGGAACGGGGCAAATGATCGCAGTGTGACCTTGGTGAGTGGCTTCCCCTCTCTGGCTTGGGTTTCCTCCGAGGAAGAGAGGTCCAACAGTTGGCAGGCGGACAGAGCAGTCAGAGCCTGCGAGGGCCGGGCAGGGTGGAACGAGCCGCCCATTCCCTGACGGCTGGTCCCCTCGGCAGAGCTCGGTGCCAGGACCGCACGCGGCTGCCGCGCCCGGGGAAGCCCGGGCGGCATCCGAACATCAAGACAGCGAGCAGCCGTCCCATTGGCAGGCTCGGCTCCGCAGGGCCTCCCCGCAGCCAATCGCGGCAGAGGGGCGGAGCCTCGGCCAAGGTCCCGACCAGCTGCCGGCTGGGCGGATGCTGCCGCTGCTCCCGGCTGCGCCTGCTCGGGTCGCCTGGGAGAACCTGCCATGCAGCAACCCCTGCTGGGAGCCGAGGGCCTGGACTATGATACCTTCCCCGAGGAGCCGCCCCCGTCGCCAGGGGAGAGGACGCGTGTCGGGTGAGAGTCGTTGGGCTTGGGGGACAAGGGTGGGTGCTGGGGATGGCCCTGGTCCCTTCCAGCAGGCGGCTGACTCCAGGCCTGGAGTCTCTGACCTTCAGTGAGTGGCACCAAGGGGCCATCAGACTCCCTCCTGCCCTGGACACTCTAGTCCTATTTAAGGACTAGATACCCCTCAGGAAAGGGATGACCCAAGGGAGTACTGGGCCTACCCCCTCATTGGCATAGACTAGGAGACTGAGGCCCAGAGAGGGTGAGGGGCTTGCCTAAGGTCACACAGCAGGCCTGCAGCTGCAGAATGGGAGGCAGAACCCAAGCCTCCTCTCCTGGAGTAAAGGACCTCAGCACCAGTGTCTCCACCACAGCCATGGACTAACGCCCGGGGAATTTCCAGAGGTGGCTGGTGCTCAGGACCTGGGGGACAGGAAGTGGGATGCCAATCTGAACGGCCCTGGCCTCCCAGTGCTGCCTGCTGAGCTGGGTGGCCACTAGCTCAGAAAAGGCAGCAGTTTGGGAGAAGGGACTCAAAGACCCTGGTTTTTTGGTCCACCATCATCACCAGGGTCTTGCAGAACAAAAGGGTGTTCCTGGCCACTTTTGCTGCTGTGCTGGGCAATTTCAGCTTTGGGTATGCCCTGGTCTACACATCCCCTGTCATCCCAGCCCTGGAGCACTCTTTGGATCCGGACCTGCATCTGACCAAAAGCCAGGCATCCTGGTTTGGGGTAAGGACCATGTTCTGAGCTGGGGAGGGCTGCAGTTCCCACTGACCTCCCAAAAGCTCTGCCCTGAGACTTCCCCTCCAGGGTCCTGATACCCCTTCCCCCACCTACTCCAGGCTGCTGGGGATGTGGGGTGAGGCCAGATTACTTTGATGAGGAAGTGAAAGCCAGTGGAGACAGCGTGGGAAGAAGTGTGTGGAGCAGCACCCCTAAGGTCTCCACCAGGCCCCCACAGTCCAGCCAGGCCGCCACAGCAGCACAGAAACCTCCCTGGAGTGGAGAGGGCTGGGCTTCAGGTGCCACTGGGAAGAGGACTGTCCTGGACAGACTGTGGGCTAATGGAAAGGAAGACCCTAAAAGGTCCAGATTTCTGAAATTTCTAATTCAAATTTAGAATTCCAACATAGTAGCTAAGACAACAATACCCGAGCTTTACTGGGTACCAAGCATGTGCCCCATGGGTGCTGGGCACTTTACCTGAGAGCTCAGTGACTCCCAGGCCCAATTGCCATGAGGTCGCAACTATCACTCTCCCCATAATACAGCTGAGGAAACTGAGGCTGTGACAGGCCTAGCAACACGCCCAAATCCTACTGCTAGTTAGTAGCCAAGCTAAACTGGGTCCTGGTTATTTAGTCCTTCAGGGAATTTAAGAACCTTTAAATATTAAAGTCTTAAGACCTTCAAATCACAGAATTCTCCAGCATTAAAATATTAGACATTTAAACATCAAGCTAGACAGGACCACTGTAGATACGTGGTGCCACCTCCTTCCTAGAGCAGAACTCCCCGTTCTGACGTCCCTAACAATTGGTTGTCCAAATATTGCTTTTGCTCCTTGGGAGACAGCAGGCTCACTACCATTACTGGCCTGAGTTCTAGACAGGCTCTGGGGTAATCTTGGGAAAGAGCTGTCTCTAGACTCTAAGAGGTGGGGGTGCTCAGTGCCCAGGCACATGTCTGAGCACCCCCATATCTCTGCAGTCTGTGTTTACCTTGGGAGCAGCAGCCGGGGGCCTCAGTGCCATGGTCCTCAATGACCTCTTGGGCCGGAAGCTCAGCATCATGTTCTCAGCTGTCCCCTCTGCGACCGGCTACGCGCTCATGGCAGGTGCCCATGGCCTCTGGATGCTGCTGCTGGGGAGGATGTTGACAGGCTTCGCTGGGGGGCTGACAGCTGCTTGCATCCCGGTAAGGCCAGGCTCTCCCAGCCCAGGCCCCTACTGCCTTCTGGCCTCCATGCCTCTGGTCAGTGAGAATGCTTGCCTTCCCCTGCAGCTGCCCTGGGAGCCTCAGCTCACCTTCACCAGGGCACTTAATTTGGGGGAACTTGTCCCCATGTCCCCACTCTGGACTCTCCAAACTTCCTATCCATTTCTTGGCCATGGGCAGATGCATTGCTCAATTGGAGAAAACCCTCATTGAGCAATGGCAATGGCTAGGAAAGGGGAGTCCTGCCCTGGGCCCCACCATGGAAGGGGAGCTTCTTATCTTATCCAAGGCTCCACATGTGCCCAGCCTTTGAATTCCAGCTTTCTTCTCTGGCCTGACAAGCCCACGGGGGGGGGCGGGGGGGGCAGGGATCACTGGGAGGAACGAGCTTACCTGCTCAGCCCCTTGCTCCCCATCCTCTGAGGCCAGAGGGAGGTCAGGCAGGCTGCCGAGGTCATGCAGTGAATCACGATCAGGACAGAACCCCACAGAACCCCTCCTTGCCACAGTTCACAGGGGCCCCCTCTCTGGTCTCAGCCAGGCCCAGGAACCTGCATTCTCACCAAAGCTGGGAGGGGGTGGATGTGTCTTGCAGGTGTATGTGTCTGAGATCGCTCCCCCAGCTGTTCGTGGGGCTCTGGGGGCCACACCCCAGCTCATGGCAGTGTTTGGATCCCTGTCCCTCTACGCCCTTGGCAAGTATCACCCGGCACCTCCCCTGTGCCAGCTTGGGGGAATAGGAGTGCCACTGAGGCAGACATGGGTGGAGAGGGAAGGATAGGCCCCAGAGCAGATGCTGGGCTGGGAGGCCTGGCTTCTCTACTCCACTCAGCCGCCCCTATTCCTATGTACCCCCAGACTATTGCCCACCCCTCTCTAGTGACAGGCCCAGTCCCTCACTGGGCAGGAGCACCTCTCCTGGACCAGCAGTCCTCAGACTACCTGTTAGCAGCAGAAGCCTCCACCAAACAGGAGCTCAGCTGGGAAGTCCCTGGAGAACAGAGATGGGAGTGCAGCTGCGGGGGTTGAGGCAGGGTTGGGCTTTGAGGTAGAGGCCCAGGCCCTTCCCTACTCTGCCTATGCTCTGCCAGCCTGTCGTGGCCCTTAAGACCCTCTAAGATAAGGACCTCTTGTGCCAGGGGCGGGCAACCCAGGTAGGCTCCTAGAGGATGTAGTCCTTGGACTAGACCTTGAAGGAGAACAGGTAACGTTGCTTGGGGCTCTGCCTGGCCCGAACTCAACCCCTCTGTCCCCAGGCCTCCTGCTGCCGTGGCGCTGGCTGGCTGTGGCAGGAGAGGCGCCTGTGCTCACCATGATCCTACTGCTCAGCATCATGCCCAACTCACCACGCTTCCTGCTCTCACGGGGCAGGGACGAGGAGGCACTGCGGGCGCTGGCCTGGCTGCGTGGTGCAGACACTGATGTCCAGTGGGAGTTCCAACAGATCCAGGACAATGTCCGGAGACAGGTACAGGAGGGACAGGGCGCCCAGGCCCACAGGCCCACCTCAGGACCCCAACCCCGTGTGGCCCTGGCCAGTGCTAGGCCTCTCTGAGCCTTAGTTGCTCTCTCTGGAAAACAAGGATATTGGTAGTTCCCACTAGTCCAAGAGCCTGGGCAGGTGGCAGTTGGGGCCTATCCCCAGAGGCAGTCTGCCTAATGGGGTCCTTCTTTCCTGGGGGAAGAAAGGAGTGTCCTCCCACCTAGCCTCAGACTGCCTAGGGTAGGATGGCACCTGCAAAAGAGGGTGGCACAGCCCCTCAGCAGCGGCCTCGTGTTTCCAGAGCAGCCACATGTCATGGGCTGAGGCCCGGGACCCACACGTGTACCGGCCAATCGTCATCACCTTGCTGATGCGCCTCCTGCAGCAGCTGACAGGCATCACCCCAATCCTGGTCTACCTGCAGCCCATCTTCAACAGCACCGCAGTCCTGCTGGTGAGTCGGCCTGCAGCACGCACACATGAAGTCCCACAGGGGCGAGTGGGGACTTGGCTAGGTACCTGCTCTATGCCCAGTGACAAGGAGACAGCAGATCTGAGAACTATGCCCGGTACCCAGAGTCTCTGTGCCCTGCATCTGTTCTCACAATGTTTTTAAGGAAAGTTTAATGTTTTAAAATAAAATACACAGAACTGGCTTGGCTCCTGTAGCACAGTGGTTAGGGCCCCAGCCACATGCACCGAGGCTGCGGGTTCAAACACAGCCCAGGCCA